AGCTTCTCACATCCCATACTCTGTTTCTGAGCCTCCAACTCCCTTTCTAGAATGTTTGATTTTAAGGAGCATCTGTCACCTGTCTCTTTGGTAATGGTCCTGACCGTGGAGCTGCCGAGCCTGCTAATGCAGCCAGCACTAAGACCTCCAAAGATGAGAGCTATTCCGCATTCTTACTCGCTTGAAGGACTCCTTGCAGGAGGGGCAAGCCTGCTTACCAAGCTGAACTGGGACAGATTCTGAAGGAGCCAGGTACCAGTGTTCCTCAATTTACAATGGCATTGAATATTGATAAACCTACCATACACCGAAAATATCAAGTCTACAACTCACTGATTACACTTGCCCAACTTAACATCATAACTTAGCAATCTAGGACACTGTGGATTCTAGTAAGGTACAACATTTCAGTATTATTGTAATGTCAAAACGTCGAGGCTGAGTCACCAGAAGTCAGGCATTGTGTGTATAGCAGTGTATATGTTCCAGGAAGTACTGGCCGACAGAGCTATTGGCAGTCTGGAGAACACTTGGACATGTGCTGTCTATCATGGTAGCCACTCGCTGCATATGGTTATGGAGTGCTTGAATGTATCGAGTAAGACAGAAAGTACACTTTTAGTTTTATTTATATTTAATTTGCTGAAGTAGGCCTAAGTGGGGTCAGACGGAGGCTCTGAAACCATATCCAATCCACCTTGGTAGCTCCTGGACCATTTCATCATCGATACTTCTTGGTTCTCTTTAGAAGCACCTGCTTAATAATCCTTTCCCCTCAGTCACTGTTCCCTTGTCCATGTCTAGGGAGACAGGCCAATGTGAAGCCTCTCTGGGCTTCCAGGTTCACCAAGTCACGTTGTGGCTGTGATTGGTCTCGTTATGGAGGAGCTGGAAATGACTGCTGAGAAACAACCGGGTCTCCCAGCAACTCAAGACTTTGTGCCCTCACAGACACGTGGTTTTATCTTTTCCTATTTGTTTCCCCTTTCTTCAGCATGGGCTCAGAACCATAGTCTGAATTCAGCAGTCACCCCTTGACCTTTGGGATCTGTATGCCAAAGGTAAGAGTATCTACCCTGATTGCATCTGTGGCCGCTACCTCCTCCAAAGACTCTCAGTGCTCCCCAGGGCTCACACTGATAAGAGCACACAAGAACAGTGAAAAGGCTGTCTCTGCATTCCACTGCAGATGCACAGATTAAGATACACCGGACTAGGATAATACAGGTTAATTTCGATGGGTCTGCAGTGAGTGGTTCTAGGGTATGGCACCCTTCCGAGTTTGAGCCAGGTTCTTAACCCTGCTGAGTCTTGGGTCTGAATCAGGAGGATGCATTGTGCGGCAGGCTTGCGGGACGGAAGCAAGAGCCTCAGGAGAGACCGATGTCAAGTGCTGGGCACCTACCTGACCAGGCCAGATGCGGGTTCTCATCTCCCAAATCTGCAAGGCCGTTCTGGTGCTCTGACTCCACCACACCTCATTAGACAGGAAACAGGGACTCGGTGACTGAACTTCTCTACTTTCTGGAAGGCCTTGTCCCTTCCCCCAGCTCTCACCATTATTTTCGGAATAGTGCTCACCCAGGCTTCAATTTGAACTTTGTTCTTCAGCCTCCCTACGGACAGTGGGCAGCATTTTGTTGTTGTTGTGTTTGGTCTAAATACTTGCTTGGATATTGCTGCCCATAAGTATAGTTGTGCTGGGAGTTTGATCTTTGTTTCACCTCTTTAGACTTTCCCTTAATTATAACTGCATGGCAAATAGCACATGAATTCGGAGTGTTGAGGAATGAATGAATGAGTGAGAGAAAAAGCAGTCACCATTGGTCACCGTTCCCAGAGGCTGTGAGGAGGAATCTGAGAATGAGCTGGGGTTAGTTTTATTTGCATGTTTCCTGAGAGTTCCCCGGAAACTTCCCTATGCCCACCTTCGTTCCTGACAACTGCTATGAGGGGCGCCAGTCCAGTCTCCCTTCTGGGTAACTGGAATGAGGTCTACGATCTCTCTTTGCTTTCAGCCTCAGGAGTCCCTTGGAATGTGAGCATGCTCACGAGTGCTATGGAAACTGTAGCGCAGGTGACGAGCCTGAGTGAGCACGGCGAATCCTCACCTCCGTGTAAGCCTGTGAAGACTGCCCTAAGAATCATTCTGCCACAGATTTTGAAACATGGAACATTCAATCCTTTTTTGTTTTTATTCCGATATAGAGCTGGCTGCTCCTGTTCTTCAAAAATCTCACTGAAATCCATGGGAGTGGGGGGAGGGATACAACATTTCTGTCTTCTGGTCAGCTTTACTGTTGTTCACCCTCAACCATGACTGATGGTCTGAAGAATCTCAGCTCTGTAAGTGTTGCCATTGCGATCTAATCTTACCGCTTATTCTTTTGCTTTTTAGTTCTCTTATCTGTACCTAAGCTTTGATGATGTGGGGTGTGCTACCCTATGCTGCAAATATGTGCTGCTCTTATTGGTTGATGAATAAAGCTATTTCGGCCAATGGACAGGCAGAATTTAGCAAGGTGTAAATCCTAACAAGGATAGAGAGGGGTAATAGGCAGAGTCAGGGAGACACCAAGTAGCCACTGGGGAGGTAGGACACCCAGACACGTAAGAAAAGGCCACGTAAAGATACACAGATTAATAGAAATGGGTTAATAAGTAAGAGAAAGCTAGCCAGTAAGAAGCCTAAGCCAATGGCCAAACAATTATAAATAGATATTAAGTCTCAGAGTGGTTATTTCATATAGACTGCAAGGACCCAATTGGATGGAGAGAAACTAGTCCAGTGGGACCGAGACTACATGGCGGAAAATCTTCATCTTCACTTTGACTATAATTGTTATTAGTATTGAAGAACTGCCATATTTCCATCTCAAGACAGATGCCCAAAGCTTAGATGCACTCCAATGAGCCTGCTGGACCAAACTTCAAAAGCAGCCTTCCCTACACTGTTGGATAGTTCACCCAACGATAACCCAGAGGACCTTTGATTATTGTCAGGGACTAAGTCAGGAAGACGACAATTATATTCACACAAGATCACAGTGCCACAGAAGGAATTAAGCCAGACCACTGTCATAAACAACACAGAGCTGGCTTAATTAAGAGCTGGCTGCAAAAGCCAAGGAATTCCCAGCAACTTCAAGGCAACACGTGAGTTTTACTTACTGCTTTCAGAGCACACAGGATGAGGATACAACTAGGATGCACCCTGATCACGTTTCATGACATGGCTGGTCGAAATAACACTGCAGTGAGTAGGGAGTATCGCCATCTCTTGGAGATACCAGGTTTGATTCCTTTAACTACAGCTCCAGAAGTAGGAGTGCCAGGTCAAATGGTTTATTTTAACTTCTGGAGAACTCGCCGCATTTTCATAGTGGCTACATCACTTTGTGGACCCAGCAACAGTGAGCAAAGTCTCTTTATTCCCCCACACAAAAAATAACAGTTTTGAAACTTTTACACTTTTTAATAATGGCCATCTAATGGATGGGAGGGAATGTATTTCTGTGATTTACATTTCTCCAAGGATTAAGCTGTTTTGCACAAACCTGTTTTTTTGTATGTGTGTGTAACTTCTGAGAAATGTCTCTTTCAGTCCATAGCCAAGAATCAAGGCTTGTGTGTTGCTGTTGTTATTGAGATGTAGGACTTCCTACATGTATCTTCAGATACATGGTTTTCAAATAGTTTTCCACATCCCGTTATTTCCTTGTTTCCTTTGCCTGTCTGAAGCTCTTTACTTTGTTGCCATCCTGTTTATCTATTTTTGCTTTTTGTTGTTTGTGCTTTTTGTGTCACATCCAAAAATACATTGCTAAGTCCAATGTCAAGAACCTTTTCTTCTAGGGATTTTTTTTTAGATTTATTTATTATATATACATTATTCTCCTTGCATATATGCCTGCAGGCCAGAGAGAATACCAGATCTCATTATAAATGGTTGTGAGCCACCGTGTGGTTGCTGGGAATTGAACTCAGGACCTCTGGAAGAACAGTCTGTGCTCTTAACCTCTGAGCCATCTCTCCAGCCTCCTCTTCTAGGGATTTCTTGATTTCAGATTTTACTTTTAAAGATGCTCCTAATCTATTTTGAGTTGATTTTTCTATGTGGTTTGAGATAAGGGACCAATTTCATTCTTTTGCATATGGGTATCCATTTTTCCCAGAACTATTTATTGAAGTGATAATGCTTTCCCCAAACTCATGGAGTTTCATGATTGTTACCATGAACTGAGGACAGGAAGAAGCTGGGAGGTGTTGGCCAAAGGATACACAGTTTCTGCAATGCACAAAGTATATATCATGCAAAATAAAGAGGGTAGGAGGAACTTTCTGGAGGTGGTAACTCTGCAATATGGTATTGATTGTGGTGATGGTTTCGTGAATGCTAACATTCCTCTTCATTCACCCAATTATATACAGCTTTTTGTGTGTCAATCACAGCCCAGTGAGGCAGCCTAAGAAAAGCTGCAGCTACATGAGTAGCTAGTACAAGGTAAGCATTCCAAGAAGCCGACAGAATGAGGTGGTCCCACTTCCAACGGAACATCACACACGCGCACACACACACACACACACAGACACACTAGGAGGAACTTACTTAAGAAACTCCCACAAACACAATGGGCATTTGCACATGCTATTTGCCAAGTTGCCAGGTAAAGACCCTTGCTTGATGATTACATTTGGACCAAGAGACTGGAAACACAGGAATTTAATTCATTTCCAAGGGGATAGGATGGTTATCTAGGAAAATTTCCAGTCTGGGACATCACACAATTGATTTGGTTCCTTAATGACAGGTGGGTATTCTGTGGTCTCCACCATGCCTTGTTCAGCAATAGATAGTAACTCACTTGTACCTGTATTCTTAAGGAGCTCCCAGCCCTGGCCATACCATTGGACAACACTAGACTGTGTTGGAATAATTATAACTGATTAAAACAATATAGAACTTGCAACCCATCACCCGAACCCGCAGTCAAGGCTACCTGGTGGCAAGAAGTGGATACGTATGCACTGGGCTGAACCAAGCCTCCTTCCTTCGTGGTGCACTATCGTAGATTAAAAGGTCTTTCTCAGTTAGAACAACGAGGGCCGGTTTCCACTGTTTCTCACTCTCTCCTGGCACCTGAAACAGAAAGCAGAGGACTGAAACAGCTGGAGGACAAGGACGAGTGGGAGACGCGATGTCAGCATCCCTTCAACCAGAGAACCGGACAAAATGAGTGTCTTTTGGTCCAGGCTCGAAATGGAAAGAAATAACTACAGCGTGGTCCTAGCGATTCCTGACCACTGAAAATACCCGATCCCAGGGCCTTGGTGTGCACTGTCTGTAGAGTCAAGGAGGAAGAGCACAGCTGCAATACATCTGCCGTTGGTTCTCACCTGTCAATCAGCGCTCAGTCTTTATTTCACAGTGGGAGGCAAATGCTTGGGGGGAATTAGCACTCTTGTCTTACACTCTGGTACAGCACATACATTATGAAAAACTTTAAGCAGATACCCAAAGGCACTGAAAAATATCCTGCAGAGGCACGTGTCTCCTCTTTTGGATGTGAGACACACCGTCTCTTAAGTTTTGTTCTTGAATTGCTCCTGAGATTTAAGCATAGCTTCAAAATTTCCCATCATCCATTGGCTATTCAGGACAAGGAACACTGACTTAACTCAAGGGACAGGATGACCGACTAGGAACAGGATAGAAACATCAACCGGATAATTGGACCGGATGTGTTTTTGAATCCCATCTGTTGCTGAGACTTGTAGAGATCACATTTTGGTTCGTTGAATGCCTTAAATGCCCTTCTGTCCACGGAAGAGCTCTCTGTCAAGGTTGAATTCAAGGACCCAGATTAAGCTTGGTAAGAATGCAGAATGCCAGGCCCACCCAGACGTGTGTTTATTGGGATGTACAGACGATGTGTCTGCCCTTCATGGATGGAGAAGCACCGCTCCATGCTAGGCCAAGGGCTGTCTTTGACTGACAGTCACAAGCTTCTCAGCGCAGACAGTTGTCTCACAAACCAATACTCAAGGTCTATTGGGGGGTTGGTTGGGGTCAGTGGGGGGATGGGAGGCTAGGAGGGTGAGGGAATGGGGGGATTGATATGTAAAATAAGATTGTTTCTAAAATAAAAATGATATTAAAAAGGGAACTCAAAGAAAACTTAAAAGTGAGCTAAATTTATATTATAGCTCATTCCCCCTTGCATTCCTTTAAGTATTTATTTATTTATTTGTCTGTTTATTATGCCGTGTGCTATTTAGCTTGCATGTGAAGGTTAGAAGACAATTTGCAGGAGTTGGTTCTCTCCTGCCATGTGGGTTCTAGAGATCAAATTTACATTGTCTGGCTTACAGGCAAGCATCCTTATCTGCTCAACTAGGTGAGACAGATTTTCACCTAGGCTGGGTCATCCCGCCCCAGCCTCTCATGGGCTGGGATGATAGGCTTACACTACCATGCCTGGTTTCACTGTCAAATAAGCGCCAGAGTGAAATCTGCACAAACACATGGGAGGGGGGGTTGGGGGAGAGGAGGACACATACATGTGTCTGCTTTTCACAGCAGCGCCACGGCCAGTGTGTTAGTCATGAGTGACCAAAGCAGAGAAAATGTGCAGCTGGTACTGGGGTTGACTTTCCTCTGTTCTCTGTGTGACTGAGCACAGTTCTGGAGCTCATGAATCACGTGTCCTTGGAGGTTCTCGCTCCTGCTGCTTCTGTGTCCTTCCCGGCGAACACAGGTACACCAGAGGTGAGCAGTGTTGACTCTGCAGCCGGGAAGCCTGAACACACATCCCGCTTCAGAGTTTGCTAGCTGTCAGTCATCCAACTCCTTTGCATTTTAGTTTTCGGTGTCTGTACAAACGGCAGCTATTAGCATCCACTGAAGAGGATGGTGTGGAGACAGTTGGGTTAGAAAATCTGCAGCAGACTTAATGCAGTGCAGGGAAAGCAGCAGGGAGCCATGCTGACTCCCAGTGTTACTTGAATGATTAAATGGGACAGTGAGTTTGATGCACTTAGCAGCTGGCAGATGGTAAATAGAGACATTGTGGTGGGCCCACCATATCTTTAAAAAAAAGTAACTTTGAAAAGGTGTTCTTTGGAAATGGAATAAATATAATGAAGACAATGACTTTCCTTGGGAAAAATTATACGATAAAACAACAATACGTTATATACTAATAATTTAAACATCTTCTGTCTTCTTTTCCACAAAGACCCCTCCACAAGAAGAGCTCATCTTTAGTTTTTAATACACTGCCTTCCAGCAATTCTAAATGAAACCTTGCTTTCTGAAAAGCATCTCCGTCTCAATGTTTGTAAAGCTATTTATACTTGAATGTGAATGAATGACTGTTGGCTTTTCTTCCCTCTCTGTTTTATGCATACTAAAAATAGCTACCTTTAGCTTATTGATTTTGTAAGACTTTCCCACAACAGAGCAAGATCATCTCCAAAAGATCAAAACAGATCGAGAAGGAGAAGAACCAGTCTTTACAAGGTGAATATGAAGTAGATATCTGGAGGCAATCAATTGTGTGTGGGGGGTGCTAAAATAAATTTGTCCAGCTTCTACATTAAATCTAGTAAATTATCTTTCCAAATCAGAAACAATCTGAAGCTTGCAGAATGAACCTGGATAGTAAATATCAATGGTGGCATGGCAACCTCTATACCCATGGGGTCAGTGACACAGGAATGTGTCCAGTGGTATGGTAGCTGTGGTTTGAATCATCCCAAAGCCATACACATATTATGGCTTATTCAAGCTACTCTGTGGAGCTCTTAAAATACGCTGTGAGAAAACTCTGAAGGACTATGTCCCAGCATCCCTCTGGGCAGATCTCTTGTTTTCATACTGTGTAAATTCTTGAGAGCAGCAGGATGCCCATGGTAACAACTGACTTTGCAAGGAAAAAACAAAAACCGTAGTGAAGACAAGATTGTGAGTTCCAGGGAGATAGCATAGTGAATATAGTTGATAAGGCATTTGCTATGCAAGTGTGAGGTTTGAGTTCTAATCCCCGGGGCCACATGGAAGTAGGGTAGGCATGGAAGCCACTTGTAATCCCAGCACTCAGAAGTCTGCGCCAAGAATCTCAGGGATAAGATGGCTGGCTGGACTAGCCAGCATGCTCCACGTGCAGCAAGACGTTCTGCCTCAGTAAATAGAGTAGAGAACAGGGTCGGTCACATCTCCAACTTCTCCTAGGTTAAACAATCCATAGGGCGTGCAATAAGGAGCCAGAGATGTGGACACTTAAATGCAAAGGAAAATGAGAAGTCAGAAAGAATATCTTAACACCTAAAGGAAGAGAGGGACCTGGGGAGATGACTTAGTTGGTCAAACACTTGCTGTGCAAACATGAGGACCTGAGTTCAGCTTCTCCATACCCATGTGGAAACCAGATGTGATGTTTGGACCTGTGATCCTAGGACAAGGGAGGCAGAAATAGGATTCCTGTGGCTCACTGGCCAACTAGTCTAGACAGTGAGCTCCAAGTTCAGTGGAAGATGTTGTCCAAAAAATTATGATTGAGAGTGCTAAAAGTACCTGACCTCCATATGTACACACACACACACACACACACACACACACACACGCATGTACACACAATGCATGCACACACACAGACACACACACATGTGGCAAACTAGCCACAGAAGACAAAGATAACAAACAGAAAAATAAATAAAGTATAGGGAAGTTTTGTTCAAACAAAGTGTTGATGAGGGTGTGAAGCAACTGAAATTCTCATGTACTTGGTTGGAATGCATGCTGGTAAAACCCCTTTGGAAAACAGTTTATAAATTTCCTTGAAAGTATGTTCCAAAGTTAACATACATGTATCATTTGATTTAGCTCCTCACATTTGCATTAAGTCAAGACAAATCAAAATATTTGGCTGTATATTTTAGTTAACTATATATGATGATTATTTCCACCGTAACTTGGTGATAGATTTGGAATCATCTAGAAGACACACCTCTGTCTACAATAGCATTTCCAGAAAAGTTCAGCTGAGGAGGCAAGACCCATTTGGAGTGAGGACAGCACCATCCCATGGGCTGTGGTCCAGGACTAAATCACTATGAGATGCTACATGTATTACCAGTCAAAATCCATCTCTCTCTCCTTCCTGCCTGTGGATACACTGTGGCCAGCTGCTTTAAGCCCCTGCTGCCATGCCTTCTCTCCCACAATGCATTAGAAGGCAACACCCTTTCCTTCAGTTGTGTTTGCCTGGTGTTTTCTTCTAACAACAAGAAAAGTAACTAACACACACAACTACATAAGGATATTCTTAATAATCTTGTTTTAAATATCTATATTCTTCAGAACCAAGTGTCTGTCAATAGGTGAATACATAATTAAATACTATACATCTATATAATGGGAAAAGAGGTAAAACAAAAACAAAGAATGAACTATTCATGTATACCATAACATAGATGAATTCAAATAATTTTGTAGAGTAAAATAAGCCATAGCTAAACTATATGTAGTATATAATTCAATTTATGCAAAATCTAGAAAATGTAAACTAATCCATAGTATATAGTCATTTCTTGAGGGAGGAAAAGAATTAGGTTGTTTGGAAAAAGCAGCTTCCAAAAGGGTAATACATTACAATAAACTTTTTATTTTCCTAAGACATGCACACAGAAGAATTATCCATCAAGAATGGAATTTTAAGTAGTTTTGTTTCATTAGTTCATAATAAACCATGAACAAGCATTGCTAATTTAATTTATTAAATATTATAATAAAACATTTTAAAGGAACACAGCTTCTCCTGAAATTGCTAAAAGGAGGGTATACTGATCAAACACTTGAGTTTTACTACTTACATAAGGTCATAAGATTATTGGTCCCTGGGACCTACAGCATCCTGTTCCCAGACTTTGGAGAGAAGAGCAGAGATAGGAAATCCATCATAAAGGAGCTGGGACCCATTGCATTTTCAGTGATCTTTTTTCCCTCTGCACACTTGCAGGCAGAGTTGATTTCTTATGAACTATCTTATTGAGCCAGTGTGTAAAACTCGGATGCTAATGCACTCTAACAGGGACCTTTGGTGGCTCTATTAAAAGTAAGGCTGTGTCCTGTGAGATTTC